ATTTATTTAAATATGTATTTCGAGTACATGTCAAATAACAATCTACTTGCTTTTATCAGTAGTACATCGTTTTGGAAAACATTTAATTAAAACATCTCAAAGTGCCTTTAATTGTTATGATTACATAAAAAACAAGTAATGTTTGTTGATGAAAAAAATCAACATTTCAAACAATTAAATGTTCATATTTATGTTATATAAATTATTCAAAATAAAGATGATTGTGATACATTACAATTTTACAGAAATTAACTTTTTTGAAACAAAAATATTAAATGGTATAACATATTTTTTTGTCTTTTTGTTTTCTGTGTTTCTTATCCCTAAATAATGGGTCACAATACGAAAATGAAATAATTTCATAAACAAAAGTAAAATTTGAATAAGAATTAATTATTTAAAATTACTTACAACCTTTGAAGTTTCTCTGTTTTTATGTAGTGTCTTATTTTTGAAACTATATTATATAATAACTTTTATCAATGTGTATACTATTATTGTTTTTTCTTTTGAAAAAAAAACATGTATTCTATTGCTTTACTATATTCAACTATACTATATAAGAGTTATATTTTAATTTAAATTAACAATTAATAAACCAGATTAAGTTATCCTAATCGCCCGTTTAAATACTAAACTTGAAGCCAATTATTTCATCAAATGTCCAATCATTGTTTTGAATTAATTCAGCAATTCTTTGTTGTTCTTCTATGACTCGTGGAGATAATAGCCTTATTACTCCTGGGAGAGAATAACGTTCATTAATTAAATAAAAATGAACATCTCTTAATGGATACGCAAGAACATATTAGTTACATAAACAATGACAAATTGTAGTCAAATTGTTATATTTGTTTATACTCAACGAATAAGGTTCTCGCATTATTTTAAATAAACTAACTAATCTCCCAAACATGTTTTCCACTATAATTCTGAAAGAAGATACTATGCTGTTGTGAATTTTTATTATACCATGGGTGATTTCATCATCAGTTGTGTCGAATTTATACATTCCAATTACATTTTCAATTGAACCATACGCAGAGTCAGCCAGTACAAATTCGTTATGCTGAGTCAACCACATTTTGAAATTTTTAAAAATAGTTGCATCGTGGAATGAAGCTGGTATACACGTTGTCAGCTTTGTAACGATTCCCAGAGAAGTGCAATAAGTTTCACTTTTTAGTGCGCTCTTGTTAATCTTTTGACTAAAAAACACACCATTCCAACACAGCCTCCCACCAACAATTTTTGAAGAGTTGTTAACCCTTTGATCTCTACCATCTACTGCAAACCTTCATTTTTTAAAAATTGGGAATCCATTCACTAAAAGAAGCTTCACAGGTCTCTGCAAACGTTTTTACTATTTCTGTTGTATTTTCCAACTTTACCATTAAATGTTCTCTGGCGTTATCTGTGAATAAATTCAATGCATCTTCTATTGCCCTTTCCACTCTTAATTCAGCTCTGGTGGTCACCAATAATGATTGTTCTGAATTGATGCTCCAATCTCGATCTTTGAATTTATTATTCATTCCCAAACACAAATAAATATCAAAATAAGATTTGTTGGTGTGTAATAGAGTCATTAAAATCAACAATTTTTCGTTTGTTTTTAAATTGTTTGATTTTGAATGTCTCAAAAGTTCTGATGAATACTTTTTATCAGACCATGTTGCAACACGTACATTATGTCCGTTATTTTCAAAAGAGAATCTACACATCAAACTACTAAAAATTTCATGTATTTCAACAAAGTCTTTTATCTGAAACCCCGTTAATCTCTTAATGTTGTTTAGATTTATTTCAACAAGGTCAGTGGCTTCTGGCATAACAAGGTGTAAGTCGAGTGGGTTTGGAGTTTGATGATTAAGTAAATTGTGTGTGGATAATATTCTTTGAATAAAGTTTTGTCTTGTTTTATCAACGAGCGGTTGTTCAACAAACATACCTCCGGATCTCAAATGACGCAAGTAATCAGTTGTATCTCTTCTCCGAGTATTTGAGAGTTGTTGTGGTGTGTTATGTGTTTATGAGTTTCTTCTGGATTCATTAGAAGTCATTTGTTGCTGGCGTATATCCATATCGACATGTGTTGCTCCTCTTCTTGTTGCCACTGTGGTATTAAGAGAGTTTGAGGTAATTTGTCTTTCTCTTTGGGTGGCTATTCTTGTTGGTTGTGTTGTCTGCATTCGGGGTGCAACAAATCTTAAAACACTGGTTGGGGTTGGTGCAGTTGTTGTACTTGTGTTGGGGTTGTGTGTGTTCTGTCTTTGACGAAGCATTCTGTACATAAAGTTAACAAAAAGTGGTTTAAATAAATACTAAAATATGATGAAATATTGGAAATATTTCAAATTAAATTACTTAAAAAACGGGCGATTAGGATAACTTAATCTGGTTTATTAATTGTTAATTTAAATTAAAATATAACTCTTATATAGTATAGTTGAATATAGTAAAGCAATAGAATACATGTTTTTTTTTCAAAAGAAAAAACAATAATAGTATACACATTGATAAAAGTTATTATATAATATAGTTTCAAAAATAAGACACTACATAAAAACAGAGAAACTTCAAAGGTTGTAAGTAATTTTAAATAATTAATTCTTATTCAAATTTTACTTTTGTTTATGAAATTATTTCATTTTCGTATTGTGACCCATAAATCATCATTTATTACTATAATTTACTTAAGTATTTTTTGTTTGACACAAACGACAAACTATTACCATTAATTTAATTTACTATGTTTTAAAACTATTAAAAAAACTTGGAGATTTGTTATGGTTTTTCAAAACTACATGAAACTATACTTTCTATTCCTCATTATTTAAATGGTTTTCTTTTTTACCATCATTTTAGAATGTGTATAGTTTGAACGATTTTGTGGCTAGCCATTTTTTTATCACTACTGGCTGACAAATCCTAATTAATTTATTCAACGAATTAAAAATAATAGTTCCAAACACAAATTCTGGCTGAAAATATTTAAAAATTAACACGGGTAGCCACCAGTTGAATCCGGTTTGCAGCCCTGGTCTAATTGAAGACTTGTTTCAAAGTTTTTTTTCATAATCAATAATATTAAACTATTAATTATAAATATACTATATTTAACTTTATTTGGTTTAGAATTAGTAAAACAAAACTATAATAAAATTTATGTATTAACTATACATTGTAAATAGGTTTAAAACTATAATTTATAGTAATTTGATAGTAACGAACCCCCAACGAACACAAACCAAAAATTAAAGTCACATAGATAGCCATACTCACTTCTTCAAGAAGCCGAAAAGGCCGTGTTTTTCGCCTTTGCCCTCCTTCTTTTTCTCTTCTTTCTCGCGCTTCTTCTTCTCCTCTTTTTCTTTCTTTTCTTTTTCTTTTTGGGCCTTCTTGTCTTTCTTGTCGTCTTTCTTTCCTTTCTTGTCTTTGTCCTTTTCTTTGCCGTCTTCCATCCCAAGAGCAACACGTGCTGTCATCTCAAATGCTTCATTCAACCCATTTTGGTTGACTGCGGAACATTCAGTGAATCCAAGTGCATTCACTTCATTTGCCATCGACTCTATCGACTCTTTCTTGACTAATTGCTTTCCTTGTTTTGCAAGAATATCAACAGACTTTGCATTGTCTCGAATATCAGACTTTGTCCCTACTATCACTATTCGTGGATTTGGTACACCACAATGCGCAACTATCTCAGGAACCCATTTTGTCTTGATTCGTTCAAATGATTCTTCTTCTGACACAGCAAAGCATATCATAAAACAGTCTGACCCTGCATAACTCACTGGTCGCATCTCATCAAGATCATCTGATCCGGATGTATCCCAAAGATTCATTTGAATCGACCGCCCATCAATACTGATTGGTGCAGTGTAATTGTCAAACACTGTCGGGACATATGTCTCAGGAAACGCATTTGTCGTGTACGTCAGTAACAGACACGTCTTTCCTTCTTGTTATTCTTTTTCTTCTTTTTACGTCTAATATCATTGTATATGTTAAAATATGATTATATGATTATATGATTATATTAATATATTGATATGTAAATATGTTAATATGTTAATACATAAATATATCATCTTTAACAAACCAACGTTGGTGTCCCCTATCACTATTATCTTGACTTCCGCTGCCATCCTCTCCCTTTTGCAGTTGATCTTAAAAAAAATCCGTCTTAAGTATTTCAATTTAGCAAGATATAAAAAACTATTATTAGACCATTCCTATAAATACAACGCTTTTTATAATTTCAATGTATAATAAAAGTACTATTACAATTTTTTGTTTTTTTAATTCTATTTTTATTATCTGTTTTTTCTTTGTTTTTTTCCTTCTTTTTGTTTTGCAGTATTTATACTATGGTTCAATATAGATTATGTATAGTTTGAATGGTTTTTGATACGCTTGGATTATGTAGTATAAATACTATTGTTTATGATTTGATACAACTTGAAAAAAAAATGAAAGTGGTTGATTGTTTTTTTTAGATTTATAAAAATTGTTTATGAAAAATATCCCAGTCTTTTTCCTGATATACAATCTAATTTACAATGAACAAATATTTTAATGAATAACTTTTTTTTTTGAAAAATAATTTTACAAATTTGTTTTACATGTTTAACTTTAATATAGTTAAATCATAATTTATATTTAAATTAATATAAACTATTAATTCAAATAGTATAATAAAAATATAAAAAAACATTATTTTTATTTTAAATAATATTATAGTTGTTATGAAACAATTACAAAGATCTTAATAAATAGTATTAATAAACTTAATTATATACTAAATCCTTTTTTTTAGACTTTGAAGCATAAGATTCTATTAATACAACAATTTAATTGTTTATTCTATTTTATAGTATTTTATACTATTTTTATTATTTAAATTAACATACAACTAGTAACATAATAATAAAACAATAATAAAAGAATACTAGTGAATAAATCAAACCAGTTATGTATCTTATTGTTTCAAATCCATGTCACAACTCGACAGTTACTCAATGTTGATAGTTTGTCAATATATTCAAGACGATGTTGATTTTATGAACATAATAACAATATCAAAAAAGTTTCAAGAGACCACAGACAAATTCTTTTATAATCCGACGGACTCTTTGAGTCTTTTTAAGAACCTCCAGACGCAATTTCTGTATAAAAAGAAGACGAAAGCTGTTCCTGAAATAGAGAATCATATCTATGTCTATCCCGTTACTATTAAAGAAGCTCAGCGCCTTTTAAAAGACCCGAAGACTATATGTCGGACTGTTCTTTACACCAAAGATGATCAGAAAAAGACGAAAACACCCATTCCGGACTTTGTGACGGTCATAGACGACGACGCATTTTTGAATTCGAAAGTGAAGGCGTTAGTTGTTCCACAGGAATTACAAGTGATTGGGAGAAACGCGTTTTCTGGCTGTTTGTTTCAACGTTTTGACATCCCAAAGAAGGTGAAGGAGATGAAGGAGAGTGCGTTCTCACAGTGCATTAATCTCACGCGAGTGGAGATACCGTTATGTCTTCACATGCTCTCTAAATCATGCTTTTCGGGGTGTTTAAGTCTCTCTGAAATTGTCTTAGAAAGCACTTTAATAACATTAGAAGACAAAGTGTTCTGTGGATGTTCGTCTTTGAAGAAAATTGGAATACCTCAAAGTGTGACTTATATTGGGTGTGCCGTCTTCTCGAATTGTTTTAATTTAAGTCAAGTCGACCTTCCAGACAAAGTCGCGTTCTTGGGCGCTAACTGTTTTGACGACTGCACGTCTCTTAAAACTATCAAATTGCCAAGTTTGTTAACTTCTCTTAAAAAGTCGACGTTTTTTGATTGCTCGTCACTGGATAATCTGGAAATTCCAGAGAATATTAGATCCGTTGGATATAACTGCTTTTGTAATTGCATACATATTAGACATTTAAAATTGCCAAATAAGGTCGTGGAATATGGAAAGTCTGCATTTGGTGGGTGCTACCAACTCAGGGATATCGTTACCTTGCCTGAATATGCTTATTTGTAAGTTAAAGATGACAAATAAGACTTGAATTGAATGTCTAAGTTATTTTTATATTAAGTTTTTCGTAATTATTTTTTAACAATTAAAATTCAATATGAATCAACGACTATTTTTATAATCGTTGATTAATATTGAATTTTTATACAAACAGTGGTTATACTGTTTATATAAACGATAAACAATATCAACTCTAATTAATCAAATTTTAACAAAAATTTCACATAAAATCTATGCAAATAGAGTTATAGTTGTATTTATTACTCCAACTCATTTTACATGTATAGATATCGTAAACAATAATTCAAAATTCTATATTGTGAAAAACATAACCTAAATGTGTTGAACAATTAAGACTTAAATTGATATTTGCTGGTTGAATCATACAAAATAACAATCAAAAAAATGGGATCTATTCTATTTATAAATAAACAATTTTATTATAAAAAAACCAATAATAATAATACACTTTATTTTTTTCCAATAAAACATGTATTATATATTTACAATAAATATGTTATAAACCAACTATTCCTCAATTCACATTATACTAGTAGTTTTACTATACTATTTCTATTCCATAAGACAGCGCAAACAGCACTCTATCCATCTTAAAACCACACCATTTGATGGAAGAAATAGGGCACCTCTACCACTGTTTATACACACGTGACATCACCCAAAAGGTTAAAAGGAAATTTGATGGGTATGTCATCTTTCGTCCGAAGTATCGACGGTTTGAGGTCTACGAAGACAGTGATGGGAAGTTAGGCAAACAAGTTTGTTGTGAGACGGTCCAAGAGACTGAACTTCATTGTGATGATGTAGTCAATCTCCCTTCCTTCATCGTTGAGATCTTCGATGAAGTAACTCCGTCACTTAATGACCAGCACAGTCTTAACGTAGAACCACCTCCGCCCACTTTATATACTAAATCGGACAAAGACGAGAAACTCCGAGACGAGACGAAGCCACGAAAAGTCCTTTCAAGGAAGAAGACGTTGGCCAAGACCAAAAGTTTGAATTTTGCAGTTACTGCTGATGACAAGAAGATGACCAAATTAGTTCGGAAACGATCTGTCCAAGAGATCCTCAATCTGTTTGAGAAATGAGAGTCTCTATACACCAAGTCAAGTCAAAATGTACTAACAAAACACTGATAAGTATTATTATTATTATTATTTATCCTTCTTCGCGTCTTCACTACTTTCAACGTCGTCACTTTCCATCTCTTCTTCTTCCTCTTCTCCATTCACTAAGTCTTCCTCTGCACTTTTCTTCCTCTCTACTACAGTGAAGTTCAATGGGAAGACTCGACTACACCCCATATACGAATCACACACTATATGTAAACTCACGGCGTAGTTCCCCGCTTGCTTCGGAGTCGGTGCAAACACGCGAGTAATAAAGGGCAACTCCGAGACGGGGATATACCCATGTGCCGCATTCAGAACAACACTGTTCCGCATGTCGGTCAGGATAAACCACCACCTTTCAAGTCGTTCATTGGGACAATACGGGCAATGGACGTAAACATCTTGAGGAGGGGCGTGAACAATTTCAACGTCAGGGATGACCGGATCGACGTCGTCTTCTTGCTCTTCTGTTGGTCGTTTTAAGAGCTCTTCAGCACTCTGCGGCTCGACGGGGAGATCCTCTTTCTCGGCGTCTAAGATCTTCTGAAGCTTCCCGCGAAGCTTTGGAAGGACTTCGCCGTCTTGGCCACGGGGGTACCTGTACGCGTTGATGACGATGACTAAAGGTATTCCGGCGATGACTGTTCTTGTCATAGTGGCACTCATAGCACGAACGACGAAATCGATAGTAGTTGGGAAGTAATTGAAGTAATTGAGAATGACCTTCTGTCGAGTCTTTGCTTCGACGGTTAAAGGTTTGAAGGCATTGGTGTCGGTCTTGTGTGACTGGTCTTGAAGAGCAAGATCACTCTTCTCTTTGATCTCTTTGGATTGAATAGAACAATGTTCCTCAACAGCCTCGAAGCGCGGCTTCTTCCCCATCTTCTTGTCCTTCTCGTTGATTGATTGTTTAATCTTCTCTTTGACCGTCTCAAGCTTCATCTTCTTGACTTCACTCTTCTCTTTGAGTGGTTGGATCAACTTCACATCTTTAGATTTGTCGATGCCGTCAACGACACGGTCTTCAATCAGACGTTTGCGGTCTTCTGGAGTGAGACGGCAGAACTTCTCAAAGGTCATATTCTTGCCAAAGAGCTTTGAGTCGACGTCCTCGGGGATTTGGTTGAATTCGATGTCGGTGGCTTGGGTCACCATTTGATTCAAACGAATGCACTGCCAGACGCCATTCAAATTTCGTTTGGAGAACATGACGGAGACCATTCCATGTAAGATGTTTGGTACGACTTGAAGGATCTCATCCAAGTCGTCACGTAAGTAGTAAGGGAGTTCGTTGTGTAAACGAGTTAAATGAGCGGCGAGAAGGATTTGGGCTTTAACTGCTTGAGGAGAGTTGTACTTTGGAGTTTTTATGAAGAGTGAGTTGACTCTTTTTTGAATAGCGGGGAGGTATTTCTGGTCATCTGGTTTGATTGTAACGATCTCTGTGATTTCATTAGAGAGTGTGAGGACTTCGATGAGTGTTGGGAAGGTGAGATTAGTGTCGATGAGTTGCATAAAGATGGCATTGGTCTCGAGAGTCAAATTGTTGTTGTCGTAATTGTGGAACTTGCGGAGGAGTAACCAGACGCCGATAGGGAAAAGGATGACGACGATGAAGAAGTAGAAGCCTAATACGACGGTTCTGTTTTTCTGAAGTGTCAAGAACATGGGGAGACCGATCCCATTTTTCTCGATGCGTTTCTCCTCTTCGTTTCCCGTTTCGCGCCAAAGTTTTAATTTGAGAGGGTCGGTGAGAGTCTCATACGCTTTGGTGATTTGAATGAATTTTTCTTCAGCTTCGGGAGACTTGTTTTTGTCGGGGTGGTATTTGAGAGACAATTTTCGATAAGAACTGCGAATGTCTTTGTCGGAAGAAGTCTGCGACACTTCAAGAATAGTATACGGGTCATAGAGAACAGTCGGAGTACCAACAGGAGTTGTGACGGTCTTATAAGCTCCACGGAGGAACAATAATGTGAGTAAGAAAATGAAGAAAAGCTGAAGACAAAGAGAGCCAGTCAGTCGGTTACGTCGACGAGTAAGCTTTGCTTTCTTCTCAAGACAACGAGAACAGGTGCAAGGGAAACTCGGAAGAACTTTTATACGTTGGCGAAGTAAATATAAGACCCAAAGAACTACTATGGTCCCAGACAAGCCAGTCAGAAATACTTGAAACATTTGATCGTCGAAAATCGGCTTCTCTTCACTCATTTATTACTTATTGGGGTTTTCGAGTTTTACTCATGATGGTGAAAATAACATTTTTGATTCATCATTGCCATAAAATGTTTTATATAACATTTTTTATTTTTTGTTATAGATAACATTTGTTAATCAACAAATGTTATTTGAATTGACTTGTTCAATTTTTTATTTAAAGTGATTTAATCAAGTGTGAAATCAATAAATTCAAAAATTGATGGGTAACCCTAATAATTCAATTTTATAATTTTGAATTAAAAAAATATGACAATGTCAATGTTATTATTTTGAGATATTCAAATCGAAATTAAAAGAATATTCTTTTTAATCGCCGAAAATTATTAATTAGGCAAGAGTGTTATAAAATATATATTTAAACTATAAATAATAGTTTATAACAAACTAAAAAAGCCTTAAGATTTTTCTAATCAAATTGCTTTTTCCACTACAGATACTTTTATCACACAATTGTTATGCGTGATTTCCCGCTTTTGTTAAATAAAAGCGCCGTGTTATACTAATGATTTTATATTTTAATTTGATTGTATTGGTTTTTTTTTATTTAAAAAATATAAACTAGAAATTATAGTTTGATTTATTTAATCATTTTAATACTGTCGAAAACAATAACAGTATAATGTTTCATCCCGAATTAATGGTCTATTTAATCATAATTTATATAATTTATGGTTATGTGTTTTAATAATATCTATTATTATAATTAATACAACAAAATAAATCTATTGTTAAGTTAAAAAAAACTTATTTTTGTCAATACTTTCACATAAAACGCAATAGTGTTTTATTTTTACCAAAAAACAATAAAACTAACAATTAATTTATTTTCCCTGTATTTTATATTAATAAATATGTCGATAATTTATAAAATTAATTATAAATCAAATAATTAACACATTTTATGATTTTGCTTTACAACTCAATTCATTTTTATTAATTTTTTCTTATTATTTCTTAACAATTCAAAATTTCAATTTATTTAAAATTAAATTTTTATTTCAACTGTGTACTATATAATTTATAATTTAATAGTTAAATTCATTAATAACAAATGATAATTTGTAAACTTTGTTTTTAATACACAAAAAACGAACAATCTTTTACCATTCAAAAAATCTGCACGCTTCGAATTATTCTTTTTCTTGCCATTTCCAAAAATATTTGAAAAATGAAAATAAAAAATTTTGAAAATTTTTCATTTCGATTTTTTTCAAAATTTTTTGAGTATAAAAAGCGATTTAGAAGCTCAGTCAGTCATGTTTGCCTTCCTCTTAGTTGCACTTGTTAGTGCTGCCAATTATGGTATTGATGTCTCTCAACCGACTTCCACATCCTCATTCACATGTTTAAGGAACAATGGGTTCACCACAATGGTGATAGTTAGAGCATGGAAGTCAACAGGATCCTTTGACTCCAATTGTGTTCAGACCTTAAAGAATGCCAATGCTGCTGGTTTCACTATTAAGAACTCAGACGCATATTTCTACCCATGCATCTCATGTGGTGATGCTGCCGGACAAGTCTCTACTTTCTGGTCTAAAGTCATTTCAAATAAATTACAAATAGAAAGAGTCTGGTTCGATATTGAAGGCACTTGGACTAGCAGTGTGACTAGCAACAGAAACTTCTTTGAAGCTATGGTCAACAAGGCTATTAATATGAACATTAAATATGGTATTTATGCTTCAAAGAACTATTGGTCTAGCATTATGGGGTCATACACTTTCTCTCATGCTTCAAGCGTTCCTTTGTGGTACCCACACTACGATAACTCCGCTAGCTTCTCTGACTTCTCTGCATTCGGTGGATGGTCATCTCCTTCTATGAAACAATACAGAGGCGATGTCTCTACTTGCTCTGCTGGTGTTGACTACAACTACAAGCCATAATTGACTCTTTCGTTCATTGGTAGTTTTTTCTTCTAATAATATTAACTTATTGACTTGACAAATTTATGAGCAAGTTGGGGATATTTTATTATTATTTGTTTCTTATTTTTATATTTATACAAATATAAAACTATTATGTATTATAACTAAACTATTGAATACTATTTCTTCAATAATTCTATTTAATAATTTCAAATTAAACTTTGTATTTTGCATCTCTTTAATATGTAATTTTTAATTAATCTGAACTATTTTATAGTTAAATGATTTAATCAAAAAGTACCTATAAATTATTGAGTTTACAAGTAAAAGTCAAAACTAATTGATTTTAATTTGAATATTAAAGAAAACTAGTAATTATTGGTAAGTATTTTAATAATAAATAACAATTGAAAATACTATATAAAAATAATAAATTAAATCGATTAATTAATAAATTAATTAATTTGAACTATTTAAAAAAATTTCCAATTTTAATTAGTTCCCGAAAAATCAGACAAATAATATTAAACAATTAAAAAGTTATTTTTGTCATTTCATTAAAAAATGAGTTTTTCTAAGAAATAATAATATTATAGTACTTTTTATTAGTAATATGGTTAATTTTTTCAATGATATTACAACTTGGTAATTCGACGAACTAATGAAAAAATAGTTTCTTGAAACCAATTATTACCAAACCATAAAAATAACAATATTAAAACGACACGTGTTGGCATATTAGTTTAAATTGTATTCATACTATTTTTTAACTTTAAGTGTTTTTTTTCTATATTAAAAGAACACAACAGGGCCTTTAGATTGAAATGAACGGGGGTTTAGGAAGTCATACTCAGGGTTTCTAAAGCTCTTTTCAATTACTTCAATTTCTTTTTGAATCGAAAAACAAAAAGACAATTTTAAGATCAACTGCAAAAGGGAGAGGATGGCAGCGGAAGTCAAGATAATAGTGATAGGGGACACCAACGTTGGTTTGTTAAAGATGATATATTTATGTATTAACATATTAACATATTTACATATCAATATATTAATATAATCATATAATCATATAATCATATTTTAACATATACAATGATATTAGACGTAAAAAGAAGAAAAAGAATAACAAGAAGGAAAGACGTGTCTGTTACTGACGTACACGACAAATGCGTTTCCTGAGACATATGTCCCGACAGTGTTTGACAATTACACTGCACCAATCAGTATTGATGGGCGGTCGATTCAAATGAATCTTTGGGATACATCCGGATCAGATGATCTTGATGAGATGCGACCAGTGAGTTATGCAGGGTCAGACTGTTTTATGATATGCTTTGCTGTGTCAGAAGAAGAATCATTTGAACGAATCAAGACAAAATGGGTTCCTGAGATAGTTGCGCATTGTGGTGTACCAAATCCACGAATAGTGATAGTAGGGACAAAGTCTGATATTCGAGACAATGCAAAGTCTGTTGATATTCTTGCAAAACAAGGAAAGCAATTAGTCAAGAAAGAGTCGATAGAGTCGATGGCAAATGAAGTGAATGCACTTGGATTCACTGAATGTTCCGCAGTCAACCAAAATGGGTTGAATGAAGCATTTGAGATGACAGCACGTGTTGCTCTTGGGATGGAAGACGGCAAAGAAAAGGACAAAGACAAGAAAGGAAAGAAAGACGACAAGAAAGACAAGAAGGCCCAAAAAGAAAAAGAAAAGAAAGAAAAAGAGGAGAAGAAGAAGCGCGAGAAAGAAGAGAAAAAGAAGGAGGGCAAAGGCGAAAAACACGGCCTTTTCGGCTTCTTGAAGAAATAAGTCGGCCCTTTATATACTCCGAGTGCGGATTTTGGCTATGAGTAAGCGACATTTCACTCATTTTTTTACTGTTTTTACTAATATTTTCTTCGCTTAAATGCGAGTTTATTCCGTTTTTAAAATCTCTCGTTTTATAAAACAATGAATTAATATAATTTAGTTATTTAATGGTTTCATATTGTTTAAAAAATAATGAAATTCTCAAAAATCTAAAATTTCATTTTTGTGTGTTTTAAGAAATAAAAATAATAAGCTATAATTTATAATAAAATTATTGATCAATTATAACATTTATTTGTATTTATAATATATTATAACAGTATTATATTTTGTAAAAACTATTTTTTCGCTTATATAATTAAAAATATAGTACTAATATCACAATTATTAATATTGAATATGATATGATTGTAGTTTAAATTTTCTTATTGATTATGGTTTCACATTTTTATTATTTTTTATTATTTATTTATATATTTGAATTATTTGAACATATAATAATTTATTATTATTATTATTTGAAATCCCGAATTACAATTTATCATTCCAAAAATATATCCATTGAAAAACAAACTAAAAATCATTCTAAATATCATTTGTTAATATTAAAAACACAACTAATATTTTCATATACAAACAAACAATGAGTGACTATAACTTGTTAGTAGAAAAATTGTTGGGGACTTGTAATGAGATAAATGTCCTAACAAAGAATTATCTCATCAAAAGAAATGCAAACGGGAAGTGTAATATTGATGATAAGAATAAACATATAACGGAAAGAATAAAAGCAGCTGAAGGATCTTTTGACCGACTCAGTGAAGTTATACAAAAGAAAGAAGAACTCCATGAAAAGTATGACATTCTTTTCACGTTATTCAAAGCGTTAGAAAGAAGATATAACACTGAAATATTTAATGACCAAACAGAAGAAGAATTTGACAAGATGATTAATTTAAACATCAAATTACTCGAAGAAAAATTTGAAATAGATAAAGCCCCTTTTGACAAACAAATCAATGATCTTGAAAAAAAGAAAAACTCAGACATTAAAGCTTACCAAATTATTAAAAAACAAAAAAACAGCACAAAACTACTTGGACTATCTTTAAAGAAAATTGATGCCCTTGAAAAAATGACGGGGAAGAAGGTGGAGAATGTCATTTTTGACAGTGAGAAGGATGAGTGGAGTAAAACAAATTCGGGTTTTAAAACAGAAATCAAAGATGAACATAATTTGTTGTTTTTGGTGGAAGATGACGAGTTGAACACGTTTGGTGGAGTGGTTTACAACGAAATTGAAAAAACAGGAGAAAATCGTGATAACAATGCTTTTGTGTTTTCTTTAATTAGAAACGACGAACTGAATCCAAAGAAGTTCGAATTTGTTAAGACTAAAGAAGAACGATATTCATTCTATTTGGGAAATGATAGAGAAAATAATCTTTTTTCGTTTGGGGATAAAGACATTGAAGTCTGTAAAACAAAAAGCAGTGGAACTAATCATTGTCAACCAGAAAGATTTTCGTATAAACTAAAGGATTTGACTAATGACATTGTTTTTTATTCAAGAAGAATTCGAGTCTATCAATTAGGTGAAAATATTCAAAAAGCACCATCTAATTTCTTTTTAAATTTATTTGCAAAATAATCGTTTCAAAGAGAAAAATTGTTTCAATGGATATTAAAGTAATATCATATTAAATTGATTTTTTATTTTTTTATTTTGAATTGATTTTGTGGTATTCACTTATAATTTTTAATAATTAAGAAACAAAATTTACAATAAAATGTTTTTTAAGGTAAAATCACGCGAATAATATAACAAAGTATATTATACACATTACCTGTTATTTTTGCATATAAAGTGCATCACAAAATTGTCGTACGGCTTATAAAACAAATACAGTCAATATTCGATAAGAGGGCTATTCAATATAAGGATTTATTCGATAAAAGACCAAAAAATAAAAGGGAGGTTTCTTATCGAATATTGAAAAAAAAATCAAAAAACAACGACTTTAGTTTTTTGCTATTTTTTAATTATTTCTTGTTCAAAACTTCAAAATGGTAATACATAAACCAAATTGTCATTAAATTGAAAAAAAATAAAATTATTTTTAAAATATTTTAAAAACAAACAAATTAGTATTTCATCTAAAACCCAAATAATGTTAATTAACGTGTCGTTGGAGCGTGTTGAATTATGATAAAACAACGCATGTTTATTTTGAAAACCAAGAGTTGTCAATATTGCTCTTCATATGTTCAGTTTAAATGCTGTTTATGTTGTTATTAGTATTTTGATTTTTTAACGGACTTTTTGTGTATTAATAAACACTAATAAAATAAAGCATTTGTTTTTCATATTATAAATCACAAAAATTTTATAAAAATTGGCAAAAATATTTTTTGGGTGAAAATATAATTTGGATTAATGTTGAGACAAAAACAAAATGTGGTATTTTTTGTTAATTATTCAAGTTTTTATTATTTGACCTTATATCGAATAAGACTGGAACATAGACTGGACTATTATCGAATATATACTGTACAGGCAGTGAAGTGAAGGTATAAATTTTCAATTGATTGCTAAATAAAAGGGTTTTCTTATCCCGAAATATTTTATTTTGATTGGCTAAAACTGTCATTCTCAATAAAACCCTTATTTAACAAGCCGAATTTGTTCTTTTTATCATAACAATTATTGACATTTTGATTATCTTGTTACCATTTTGTTTGTTTGGAAATTATATTTTATAGTTATTTTAATCATTTATAAACTATAGAAAAAAAACATTCACACATAAACCAAGAAACGAATAAACCAATAAAAAACCATCACTTAACTTACTTGGCAACAAAGCATAAATATTGCTTCATCACAACTCAAACAGATGATAAGCGTGTTTGTTTTTGCAAGCTCGCCCAATAGCCAATAACCACACTCACAACTTATCATTAATTAAAGATCTTAAAGATGATGTAATAAAATTTAATATTTGAATATTTATGTAATAAGTGATAAATAAAGACAAAATAACAATAACAAACGTGTAAAATGACACCAAAAATATTTAATCTTTGTTTTTTAAACAAGAGTTAATGCTTGGTGTTTGCCTTTTTCTTCTTTAGACTTCAATTTATTTTTTAAGTTCGTTCAATTTTATTTTTCAACTTATTTTTTCAGCAAAGTCGAATTTAAAAATAATCTAAAAATGGGTCTAAATTTTTTCAAAATATTTTTTTTAGTTTTATTGACCAAAAAATTAAACCCGAAAAAAACAGTAAAAATATGACGTAAAATTGTTCTATTATTCTCAAAACCCTTTTATTTAGTATTCAATTGAAAATTTATACCTTCATTTCACTGCCTGTATATACAATTCCAATAAATTAGATATTAATAATTTTTAATCAAAGTTTACAATAATTACAAAAACAAAACTCACATAATCATATTCATTCTATTTTAATACATTTATAAAAAAATAATCCAAAAACTAATAAGAGTAAAAAGGGGTGTTCCATATTATCTACAAATAGGCTATCAAACCTTCTCCCAGCAAACGAACCTTAACCCAAAAAAACTGATTATTTTCTATTGTATTTAACACTTTAAACAACATTGAACAAAATTCAAGTGGTCTAAAAATCGGGCAAATGTCGAGTTTATTAAATAAATTTTCGTTTTTTAAAGTTTGTTTTAGGTGCATAAACTATACACAAGCCAAAAAAGGAAAATCATCAAAAATTTGATTAATATCCCTAGAAAAACAGGCCAAAACAAAAATAGGGCGTTATTTTAAGTGTTAAAATAATAAAAAAGATTTTTCCAATAACTTTTCTTGAATATTAACAGAAGTAATAGAACGTTAAGAACCTTTATATAAACTGGTTTTCAAAAGTCTGTACTAGGGTGTCCTGAATTTTTGCATTTATTTTGTTTATTATTTTTTGGAATCGTTTTTTGTTTATAATTTCGATTGTTTTTTCCAAGTAAAAAAGAAAAAAAAACAGTCTTCAAAAAATATTTTTTTACTTGAAGAATTTTTAAGCATTAAAAATGCATTATTAAATTTGAAATAACGGGATTTTTGTTTGGGAAAAACATGTAAATGATCACAAAAGTGCATTATATTATAAAAAGCTGATAAAACAAATGCCAAAATTTTCGAAATCGAGTTCATTTATAATAAATAAAATAAATAACAAGCACAAAAGTATCGCGTAATATTGATATATTGATGGTGTTGTCACAACAATGACTGAAATATCAAAACCCAATTCTTAAATGTTTGCTCTTATTTATTTTTTCTTTAAAACTCGTTATTTCATTTTCTTTTGTTTAAAGAACAAAACCACGTGTTTGTTTTTAAAATGAAAAACTAACGAAACTGATATTTAGTTACAAATTGACACAACAACAACATCCCAATTTATTAACGTGTTTATCGTTGTATGATTTGACCATAAACGTTGAGTTTGTGTTGTGAAGTATCGAGTTGTGGTCAAATCAAATAACGGGATCGGTTTTTTTGGAAAAGGCTGGCTAATATTCCGATAAATTCCCGATATTGTACAAAAATAATTGAACGGGATTGATATTTTTTTCAAAATTAAGTCTGTACTTTCAATTTTTTGTTTTTTTGTTTTTTAAAAAAATAAAAAATAAAAAACGGGACTTTAGGTAGTTCTAAGAATACAACAGTACAGACTTTTGAAAAACAATTTAGTTAAATTTGTATTTCTTACATCAAACAAAAATACAACATTACCGTATATCCTTAAAAAACCGGGCCTATCGTTTTTTTTATTTTTATTTTATTTTTCAGCAAAATTAAAACCGCGCCTAATTATTTTTTCCATAACAATAAAAAAATAAAACAACAAAAAACAAAATGGAAAAATAAGAAACCGAGAAGTCAGATAGCTTTGATAGTGACAATGTTTCAAAGGACAAAGATTATGTAGATAATTATCAGGATGAAATCAACAATTTTGGATGACTTTTATACACAACCTTTGTTTTCAATTACCCTCGTTTTTCATTTCAAACATTTTGATACAACCATATCTTACTTAAACAGAGCAAATAAAATCAATAAGAAATGGTTTTGACATTACCATGGAACGTCTAGAAAACAAGTACATCAAAACCATTAGAGGAAAAATCCAAATATTGTTATGACTGCAAACATGGACAAACAACTACTTGTTGTGACATTTGCAAAGCAAATCATGTAGTGAGTGCAATCGCGTTTGATGTGGTGAATGATTCAAAATGAATGCTTAAATTTATTGTTATACATTTTGTTTTTTGTTTACAAAAAGATTGGATAGAAAATATCTAGTTTTCCCTTTCGAGCAAAAAAAATCAGCAAAAAAGAGTGACTTTATAAGGTTAAGATTAATTTTACCATAAAGAATAAACATATAAAGGATACTTTTAGGTATTACAATTAAATGGGAAGACAGAAGTCTTACACAATAAAGTATAAATTAGACATACTTAAGTAATCTCTTCCTTGTGGTGGTGTTCCCGGAAAATCACTGTACTCAATTAGTAAAGATAGAAACATTCCTTACACAACAGTGGAACGGTGGTCACAGATGTTAAACCAATTAAAACAGGCGGATAACAAACAGTCAAAAAGGAGACTTTTGGGTTCTGAAAAACGCCCAAAATATTTTAACATTGAAAACGAATTGTATCTATTTGTCAAAGAATGTAGACGAGACAACAAAATAGTCAACATACCATTGATTCTCGACTTTTTGAAGAAGAGAAAAACTTTGATAGAAGAACACAAACAGCAGAAATGGGTTTATAAAATGATGAGGTGATTTGGATTGTCATTTCGAAGAGTAAATCAAAATTTCATTGAAAAACCCAAAAATTAAATTGCAAAAACCAAAGAAACAGTTTAATATTTAATAGAAATTGAAAACAATCTTGATGGCATCGAAGATGATGCAATTGTGAATTTGGATGAGACTGGAATTGATTTTGATATGTGTCCAAATACAACGATTGAAATGAAATATGTCAAACATGTTTTAATTGAAACTTGTGGAAAAGAAAAATCGAAGATATCTGTCATTGTGGCTATAACCAAAAGTGGGAAAGTTTTAACTCCTTTGGTTGTTTTTCCCAAACTTAAACATGCTCCAAAAATTGAAGGTATTATTGCTGCAGTAAATATCAGTGGTTGTAACGATTCTGAGATAATGCGAAGATGGGAAGAAGAAGTGTTAATTCCATACAAAGAAAAAATGGGACTACACAAAATTGTCCTTTTTATGGACGGGGTTTCTTTTCACAAAAAAGTGTTCGATTCTTCAAATTTTGATTACTATAGGGGGTCTATAAACTGGTTGGGATCCATAAACTAGTTGGGGAATTTATTAGAAACTTTTAAAGGAAAAAACAATATTTACACGTATTTTGGAAAAGAAAAACCCTGCTCTGCAGTTTTGGGAAGTATAAAACATGTTAATTTCTATTTTTGTTTTTGTTGTTTTGCAATTTTAGAAATTAATAAAAAACTAAATGAAACCAAAAAATAACCAATAAGTAAAAACGAATCATTTATATTTTTGTAGATAAAATAAATTATTTCTGAAGAGAATCGTGTTCTCTCCTTTATC